GTATAGGGATCTATGTCCAGATTATTGGTGGCCCTGCATGTGGCATGGTACGTCGACCGGTGCCTGACCTGCAGGAAGGTCAAGGCCGAACATCCGAGACCGCATGGCAAGATGTAGCCGTTGGACATAACGTTGTGGAAATGGGAAGATATCACGATGGATTTTATCACGAAGCTTCCCAGGACCGTGCGGGGAGTGGATTCGATTTGGGTCATCGTGGATCGATTGACCAAGAGTGCTCACTTTATCCCGATTCAGGAGAGCATATCAGCCGAGAAATTGGCCGACATCTATATCAGGTAGATCGTGGCGCGGTACGGGGTGCCAGTATCGGTTATCTCAGACAGGGATGTGCGTTTTACTTCCAGGTTTTGGAAGAAATTTCATGACGATTTGGGAACTTGTTTACATTTTAGCACCGCCTTTCACCCGCAGACGGATGGTCAGAGCGAGCGGACCATCCAGACTTTGGAGGATATGTTGCGGGCATGTGTGTTGGATTTCGGTGGTAGCTGGGATACCTATCTTCCCTTGGCCGAGTTCTCATACAACAATAGCTACCACGCGAGCATTGACCGTCCCCCATTTGAGATGTTGTACGGTTGGAGGTGTAGGACCCCGATATGTTGGGGTGAAGTTGGCCAGAGAGTCATGGGGAGCACTGAAGTGGTGCTCAAGATGACCGAGAGGATCCAGAAGGTTCGGAGAAGGCTTCAGACTGCTTAGAGTCGACAGAAAAGTTACGCCGACAAGCGTCGATCCGACTTGGAGTTCCAAGTCGGGGACATGGTTCTCCTGAAGGTGTCGCCCTGGAAAGGCATCATTCGATTCAGGAAGCGGGGCAAGTTGGGCCCGAGATTCATCGGACCGTTCAGGGTTGTAGCCCGGGTGGGCAAGGTGGCGTATAGGTTGGATCTTCCAGTTGAGCTCAGCCAGATCCACAGCACTTTCCATGTCTCTCAGCTGTGGAAGTGCTTAGTGGATGATTCAGCAGTGGTGTTGTTGGAGGATATTCAGGTTGACGACAGCCTGAATTACATTGAGCGCTCAGTCGCAATCCTCGACAGGAAGTCGAAGGATTTGAGGAACAAGAGGGTGGAACTAGTGAAGGTGCAATGGTAGCACCGCAAGGGTTCGAAGTGGACTTGGGAGCCGGTGGAAGAGATGATGGAGCATTACCCCGAGCTATTTCAGGATCGAGCAACAGACTTCGAGGACGAAGTCTAAAATAAGTGGGGGAGATTTGTAGCACCTGGTTCCTAGTATGTAAATCTTATTTGAGTATTTTCCATTTTTAGCCTTGGACTCGGCGAGTCATAGGTCCGACTTGATGAGTAGAGCCGGGACCCGGGACACGTTATAAGTTGGAGACTCGGCGAGTCACCGTTGTTGGATGAAACCCTAAGTTTCAAGGGTTTGCACCCTATTTAAACTCTCATTCTGCCCCAATCTCACCCCCATTCACCCTCAGAGCTCTATACCTTGTTCAGGAGTTGTTTCCTTGTGAGTTTGAAGCATTTGGGTGCTCTCTTGAAGTTTTGGAGTGGGAAAAAGAGTAGATCAAGAAGAAGAAGAGGAGGTCAAGCATCTTTGAGCTTTCTCAGTGTGTTCCCTAAGGTATGACTCGATTTTCCCCTTGCTTTCATGCTTATAGTCCTTTATAGCTCCATTAAAGTCTTTCTTGAACCATTTCCAAGCTTGTGTATGTGTGGGGGTTCGTAATAAGCTGAGTAACCTCTAGATCTAGGCATGGTTGAGCTCCAGGAGCTCAGATCTACTGCCTTTATGGACCCATGTTGCATGAAAACCTTAGATCTACTCTTTTGGTGCATTTTGAACCCTAAAACCCTCATAGATGGATATTTACACGTAAAGTTGGAAACTTTACGTGTTATTCATGCTCTAAGAGCCCAGATCTACGAATGGCATGGATTGGATTCAAGAAAATCGTGTTTATGGCTCTTGCATGAAGCAGACTCGGCGAGTCGCTCATCTAACTCGGCGAGTCTGGTCGCGAGTCTCCGAGATTGTCCCCTTTTAGTTGTGTCGAGTTGTGTGGTGAGTCCAGGGTGGACTCGGTGAGTTGGAAGCCAAAACTCACCCATAATAGAACTCGGCGAGTCGATGCCCAGACTCGGCGAGTTCAAGGCAATCTTCTTAGATCAAGATCAGACTCGGCGAGTTGTTCATACAACTCGGTGAGTCGCAGCATAAGTGTTCATCGGATGAAGATGAACTCGCCGAGTTGTTCATACAACTCGGCGAGTAGGATGAAGGACTTGAACATCAGTTTGGATGGAGAACTCATTGAGTCAACGCCTAACTCGACGAGTAGAAACAGAATCCAGGTCAGTCGTTTGGTCATGGACTCGACGAGTTTGAGAGCCAACTCGGCAAGTCGGGTCAACTGGAAGTTGACTCTGACTTTGACTTAGGGCATGATCAGGGGTAAAATGGTCATTTTATCCTAAGGATAGTTCGCAGTTTTTGACTAAGTCATTGGTGGGAATTACAGCCGGAATATTTCCGGAGCAGCAGCAGCAGTAGATAGACTATTCCCACATAGACCAGCAGCTACTCTGAGGTGAGTTTTCCTACCAGTAGGAACGGGTCTAAGGCATCAAGGTCGGCCCGTATAGACGAGATGTTAGTATTAGAGTGTGGGCCGAGCCCGTATCTCTTGGTTGAGTTGATTATGATATATGCCAGTATGATAGAGTTGTCTATACTTGTTGTCTGTGTGATACTTGTATATTATGGGATAGCGGCTGAGTGTGGGCAAGGCCCGTATCTCTCCGAGAGTGGAGTGTGAGCTAGGCCCGTATCTCCCAGGTACTAGTGTGTGGGCGAGGCCCATATCTTCCGGCTAGCGAAGTGTGGGCAGGGCCCATATCTTCATGAGTGTGGGCGAGGCTCGTAACTCCTAGTTGAATGTTGTATGTTATATGCTTGCATGGTATGAGGTATTATGGGGGAGCTCACTAAGCTTCGTGCTTACGGTTTTCAGTTTTGTGTTTCAGGTACCTCTTCAGCTAAGGGAAAAGAACCGGCGCGGTAGCAGCATATCACACATACGCTTTTGTTTTTCCGCACTATGGTTTTTCTGGGATGTACTCTGAATTCTTATTATGATGTCACCGGTTTTCAGACATGGATTATTATCATGAATGTTTGTAATGATGTTTTACGTTTTAACCTAAACTAAAAATGAAAATTTTAACCGGTAATTTTGTGGTGTTACAGTATAAAAGGAATCAAGAAAGTGGTGGGACTCAATGTGGGTTAATGTTGGCTAGGGTAGAAAAATCACATGTTTTTAAGCATTGTGGCAATGGAGGTTTAAATCGGGATGACTTTAAACATAATCGTGAAAGAGGTTGTGGGTTCAGGAAGAGTCTAGATGGCAAGGAATGTGTCTGTGATAAAAGTCACATTAAATGTTACAAATACGGTGAGTTTTGTCAATATAGAAACGGGTGTCCTAAATTGGAGAACAAGAGGCAAATCTACTTGAAAAGGAATCAACACTACTTTGAATGAGTGGTATGACCAATCCGATTAAAGGGCTGAGTGTTGGGTTAATTGGATTTAAGTCTAAGGGGAATTTTAGGAAATTTTATTTTATTAGTATTGTTTCCCAGTTTTAGAATATGACTTAAAGTCTTTTTGTTTTATTGTTTTAGAGGTTCATTAGGTATCTAATTTCTTTAGTATGAAAGTAAGATCATGCGTCGTCGTTTTAATTCAATTTCCAGTACTTCTTTTTGTTTAACTTCGAGACCAAGTAATTTAAAGTTTTTTTTTCTTCACCTATTTTCTTCCCACTATTTTGTTTCCTCCCTTCACATAAGAATTTGGTTTATTTTTATTACATTATGGAGAAGTTTCAATCCAAATTGTTTAGGTGGAACACCCGATAACTATCATTTGGTGATAGTTTAAACTTGTGTAAAAGTGTTCTTGATTGGCTTAGGAACCTACTTGTTCTCCTTATTAAGGTGTTTAACGAAGTTACAAAAAACTTGAGAGCATCCGAAATCAAATTTGTAGGACAACTTAAATGACAAAAAGAAAGTTACTTGAATTGCTTGGATAAAGAGTTTTAAATATCAAGAAAATGTTGTTCTTACAATAAGGAGCCTCTAAGGGTTTAATATCGCTTTATTGCAAAATGATGGTGGTGATTCTATACAAAAATTGGTCAATTTCAAAATATTCTATCATTGCATTACATGGCTTGGGGAAGGACAGATCAATGTTTTGTAAAAGTGGAACATTGAGAAAAATCAATCATTTTCACACTTATTTTTAATCATATGAATTTGGATATTCTTTTTATAGTTTATGTCCGAAACAACAAACCTAGATGGATTGGAAACGATGATACAAGTTTCTTGGTCTCCTCTGTAAGCCTATTCGGACGACATGCTACTAGACCAAAGTACTCGCAACACTATTTGGAATCATATTGCACCTAGCAAGGTAACCATATAACTTGGCATGTCGGATTAGTGGTCTACCGACATGCTTAAACCTAGGGTCATAGTACAAACCTCCTTTACTTCCCTCCCCGCGCCTTTATGTTTTTTTCATGAATCGCTCAGACACACTTATTTCTGGAATGTCCTAAATTCATCGCACTCAAAGGGGTTTTACATCAGTAGTGGAGATAGCAAGTGGGTCGATCAAGGATTTATTTTAGGGTGGGACACCAGGGTTCCCATGTCACAATATCAAATAGGCTATCACCAATTCACCATTAATCTCATGACCATGTTATGGGTTATATGGAGACTTCTCAATGAGGTTTTCTTCAATTCCAAATTCATGAACAACAAAGAATTAATGAATGGCATTTAATCCACACCATTTGTTTTTTAAATTCATGTAACGCTCCTCGTATACATTGCCTCGAATACATGTTATTCTAGCCTATCGCTTGCTATTTTAGAATGAGTGTTCTTTTGTTGTTTAAAAAAAATAATGTAACAATTACATACCTTCGTCAAACTATGAGTGCTTAACTCGAGCATTGGGTTCTCCAAACTGGAATTTATGTAGTTGATAGTGATCGGACCTATGCAGAGATTCATCAATAAGTATAATCTTACAAAAAATAAATTGTTTATATATATATATATATATATATATATATATATATATATATATATATATATATATATATATATATATATATATATATATATATATATATATATATATATATATATATATCATAATATGTCTTATTAAATTTCAATATCAGTGCACTGATGTAATCTGAAAAGAAAAATTAAAGTGATAATAAGTTGTAAATTGTACTATTAATATTCTACCAATCCAAACTAAATGTTTTCCAAAAAACAAAATTACAAAATTATAGTTGTTTTAAAGAACTTTTTGAAAATTAGCGACCTAAAAAAATATTTTGTTTAAGAAATGTCTAGACAATGTCTTCCAAAGGGCTTCTTAATTGTTAGAACCAAGGTTGTCAAGATCGGGATCCTACCTAGGATCATTTTTGGGTTTGCAAGATCGGGATCGAGATCCTAAGATCCCACAAAATATAATATAAATTTAATTTATGATATTTAATCATGAAAAATATTTCAAACATTTAATTTTTCGTTCAAAAATTATAAAAACTTCAAAATATTAGTCATAAGTCACAATAAAAAATGATAATGATAAATTGGTAAATGATAAAAGACATAAAGTGGTAAAAAAAATTCATTTGCAAAAAAAAAAAAAAAAATGTAGGATCGGATCGGATCTCGATCCTACGATCATACTTACGATCTTACGATCCTATATGCGATCCTACCCCAAATACGATCCTTTTACGATCCGAATCGTTTTTCATACCTAGGATTGTAGGATCGTACGATCCTACGATCGGGATCGCGATTTTGACAACCATGGTTAGAACTTAGATAGTTTAGTTTCTACTTTACGAGAAAAGTCTCAAATTTGTTTTTTACGGAAAGCATAAATTACCGGTAAAAATGACGATTTGAGGGTTTTTTTTTTTTTTTTTTCTGGTTTACTGGTTTCATTACTTACCCGGTTCCATTAAATTCACATTATTTTACTATAATTTATGAGTCAATCTCAAAGTAAATTTATGTGATGATTTAGTCATTTTCACCATGTAACATACATTTTACTGATTTTCTTGCCGACTTGGACGCCTAGTCCTAAAATGAGTTGATAAGATAAATATGATGGGTTATATAATGCTACATTTACCATAAAAATTTAATATCCATCTCATTAGCTCATTTATGATTATGTATCCAGGTCAGCAATGAAACAGATAAAATGTGTCTCTCCGGAAAAAATGGCGGAAAATGAGTTGATGAGATAGATATATTGGGTTACATAAGATTAGATAGCCAATTTGAAATTTCTTATAAACTTAGAAAATAACTAAGTTATTGCTAGTTTATGAAATTATTGTAGTTTTCGTTGGATGCATTTTATATTCCAAAAAATATGCAATACATAAGGATATCAAGTTTATGACAAACATAACATTATATACCCCAACATATCCATCACATTAGCTTATTTATTGACTAGGCGCCTGGTCAGCAATGAAACCAATAATATGTATGTAATAGGGAGAAAAATGTCAAATCATCACTTAAGTTAGTTTGCGACATATTCGTAAATTATGTTAAAATGGTAAGACTTTAATGAAATAGGGTAACTAATAAAACCGTTAAATTGAGAAAAATGGGTCAAATCGTTAATTTTACTAATAATTCATGTTTTTTCGTAAAAAAAATTAGTTTGGGATTTATTTTTGTAAATCAACTATAATAAATGAAGATTTGTTTTGCCACATGTCAATCTCTCATTAGTTTTCGCACTTGTTATTTTGTGATATATTTAAAATAAATAATATCCAAATTTCAATTGTTAGGTTTTTTAATTTTAAAATCAAAAAGCTACATAATATTTATATATTTATATATGTAAAGTATTAAATATCATAAATATAATATTAAATTGTAATTAATACATCTCTTTATTTCTTATTTAAAAATTTTATTTTTAAATATATTTATTATTTACATTTTAATATTTAATTTATTTTTTAATAAAACCGTGTAATACACGAGTTTTACATCTAGTTAAAGTAAAATATTAGGACTTTTTCGGAGATATCTCATTTAATAATCATCTTCTCATTTAACTTGACACATGTCAGTTTATGGGAGTTTTAGAATTTTTATTTTCACTTATCATTTTTTAAGGATTTTCGTTTTCTTAATATAAAATTTCATAAAATTTTAACAGTTTCTATAAGAAAAGAAAATCATTCTATTAATTTGATAATAAAAATCTCATAAATGTTCCAAATTATTTGATTTCATTTATAAATGTTCCAAAAGATTACAATACGTTCGGTAAAAATACTTGTCTAGAATATATATATATATATATATATATATATATATATATATATATATATATATATATATATATATATATACTAGTTTATAACCTGTGGGAACCACAGTTATAAAATTAATTAAACTTTAATAGTTAAAATTTAAAATTATTAATAACTTATTTTAAATAAATTATTAATTAAGAGGTTTTTTTAGTTATATAAAATTATAATCATTGATTTAAATAAATATATAAAATTATATCACTTTATAATTTGTATTAATTTTATTTTAATTTTTATTCTAATGTTGTTAATTTAATGTAATTATAATGGAAAATTTAAAATTTAAAATTTGAAATGGAGAATCAATATGTTAACAAATGGTATGCATTAATTATATTATAAGACATAATAAGGTGAAACATTATAAAAAAAAAATTACATTAATTATGAAGATTAATATGGTGATACATGTCAAAAGGAGATTAAAAACTACTCTTTTATTAGAATATGGAGAGTATATATATATATATATATATATATATATATATATATATATATATATATATATATATATATATATATATATATATATATATATATAAAGAGAGAGAGAGAGATGAAACGCAAGAACACTTGTACACAATTCAAATAATTAAATGTAGGACTAATACTAAGAGGTTACTTATGTCAATTTTAAAACTAGTCACATCTAGATGTAAGTAGTAAAATCAAATAAGGATATGCAAGTAATTTCATGCTTATTTATTTCCTCACAATTTGCTTAAATTAATTTATGTTAGATTATATATATATATATATATATATATATATATATATATATATATATATATATATATATATATATATATATATATATATATATATATATATCAAAGTTTCCAATCAGCAAATATTTTATATTGTCGAATAACCTTTTTCTATATCACGATAGTTGAATATAATAATTAAATACTTAAAAGACTAACATATCAAATTTCATCAGTCACAACAACTTAACAAAACATTTTGAGGTATTTTTGTTTGCAATATATATGCTTTTTAAAGGGTATGTAATATAAATAATAAATTTAGAAAGTGTTTAAATGGAATGAATAACAACAAAAATTATAAATTGGAACAATTTATTAAACCGCATAAACCGCCCGCAAACAGCATCGCATAATGCGGTTTAGAGATTCCGCGGTACGGTTTTCGGTTTCCAAAAAACTTAAACCGCATGTGCGGTGCAATTTGCGGTTTCATCTCTAAACCACACCAAACCGCATCGCGAACACCCTTTATATATATATATATATATATATATTATATATATATATATATATATATATATATATATAATATATATATATATATATATATATATATATATATGGTTGTAGAAATCAGTACTAATCGAGGATTAATCGCTTGGTTTTCTCCAATTAGGGATGTCAAAAAGTCACCTGGGGGGCCCTATCCTGTATGTGCGGGGGTAAGAAGGAGAATTCAAGGGCTAGGGTGGAAAGGACAGACATTTCGAGGTCGGGGGATGCAAACCCCATTCTGTTTTCCCCCATTAAC